TAAGCGATTATAATTTTACTATTTATTTAAATTATAACAATGTTACGAGCTAGTTTTCTCATTTTCAAGTTATCTATAACAAGTCACAAAAGCATTAATTAATAATAATTAATGATCATAATTATTAACAATGTTTTTGTGATTTGTTATAGATAACTTGAAAATGAGCAAAGTAGCTCGAAACGTGGATGTAATGTCAATAAATAGTAAAATTATAAGGGCTTATCGTTCCTTGAAGGCACCATATTGACTTTGAAATTCAAAAGTAGAATTTTCCAAAGCCCAGTTGATTGCTATAATCTTAAGCAAATTATACTTAATAAGAAGGATAAATAATATTTCATACTTAATAAAATTAATGATAAACAGTAATACTGAATTATCAATAGATGTTCTTTTATTATCTCAATTCAGAAAAATCTTATTTCTTATACTAATTTATAGAAAAAAAAACAAAACAATATTAATATTGAGCCAAATGGATACATTAAGATATATATAACTCAAATCAAAATTGATTTCTTTTTAAAATAGTTATTGATTGAGAAATAAATTTTTTTTATTATATATTAAAAATTACATTATCAGACAAACACAATATAAGATGTTAATGTTTTCAAAGTTAATAGAAACAACTACAGCAAGTGGTTCTGATTGAAGTGCGGCAAGAAAAAGCAAGGTAATAAGGCGAGAAAAATAATTAACTTCTGCAACTCGGATCGACGGTAGTTCGAAGGCGTGAGAGGCATTTTAGTGCGTGTGAAACGATAGATCAACATGTAATTATAAACATTTCAAAGAAACTAATTAAAAATCTATAGGTGAAGATGATCAAATAACATAAAATTTAATCAAAAACTTTATTGTAATTTATTTGCAATTAAAGTTTTCATAAATTTTAATTTGAACCTACTAAAAGAGGAATTTTCTTTTCATATGTACCACTACTGTAATGTGTGATGATTTTATAACAAAGCTTACCTGTTTAGAATTTTAATTTGAAAATAAATATTGAAAACCAGAAAATTAGAAAGCACTTTAATGTTTCATAAGAAAATTTTAAATCAAATAGAACCTAGAGAGAAAAGACGAATTAAGGATTGGATAGAGGAATAATTGTTTATAAAAGCCACCTGGGTAATTCTAAGATAATAGACCACTTTGAGAAATTAAATTTAAAAAACAAAATTTAATAAAACCTACATTATTATAACATTTATTTCGGTCTAAGAATGGTCTTGTAGTGATGTCAAGGTCATTTATATAAATTGCCTTGCCATCGACTGAAATTACAAAAAAAAAAAAATGTTATTTAATGTTAATTATAATTATTAGCGTTTTTATAAACATAATTAACCAAATTATTAAATTTTGAAGTTGACGAATTTATTACTAATTTTTTTGGTTCACCCCTTTCTCGCCTTTTAGGCTATACTGGGTTTATCCACGTTATCAGGTTGCCGGTCAACGCGTGTTTTGCACACAAGTCAGCCCACTTGCACCACTCACACTGAAATTATTATTGTACCAAAACGTCATTTGGGTAACACTAATGTCAAATGCAAGATTTAAGGCAGGGGGGGGGGACTTTCAGGCTGAAGCCTTTTCCCCCGACAAAAAAAAAAAAAAACAACTAGGAAAACAATTTTTTTATAGATCGAAATTCGTTTCTATGATTGATCTGAGACTTTATTTATAACAATATAATTTTTAATATGTAAATAAAAGTTTTGTACAAGATATTGTTGTTGGTTGAACTTTGTACAGTCGTATCTGAATAATTAGAACCTCGATAATTAGAATTGTTTGACTATTCTAACTCTTCAGCAGACAACTTCGGTAAATCGAAAAAATGCTGTATTTTAAAACTTTGATTATTATCATTTCCGTAACAAAACAGGGAGAGGACGTTCTATAATTCGAATTAGATCACCTTCCCTTCTTAATAATTCAAAATTTTTCTAGTAATATTTTTTACATGAAGCTATTTATATATAAGTTCTTACATATTTTCAACAATTTAATAAAAACTCTTAATGATTCAATTTTTTTTTTTCATTCATCTTGATAATTCAACCGTCTTGATAGATCAAATTCTCGATAATTCGACTTTTTCTTGTAATCCTTTGGATTTCGAATTATCGAGAGTCGATTGTACTTTGTAGAATACTTTGAAATCTAATAGAAGTATTCTCATAATGCAAGATAATGGCCTGTAATCTTAGAATTACCCACCTACATAGTTTAAGAATCAATTCTTTATTTCAGTTTATTGTGTCTACAGCCATACTAAATCATCGATACAAGCCTCTTTTAATAAATAATGAACGAAAATGAATAATAAATAAATAATAAAAACAAAAAAAATCATTTATAAAAAATGAGCAATATCCTAAACTCTAGCTGTACTCCAACCCACTTTGATGGTGATGTAATTATGCAAAAAATTAGAAGCAAAAAAAAAAAATTAAAAGAAACTACAATAACTACGAAAAAAAAAAAGAATATTAAACAAAATTAAATAAATAAAGCTGACTGAAGCGAATAAAAATAATCAAACTTGTGAGGTAAAAAAAAAAATTAAAGATGAGGGGGATAAATAATGCGATAATTTGCCAAGCAGATGAAGAGATAAAGATAATGATAAATACCTTGAATCTAAAAACATGGCCTCGGTAAGACTAGACCTCTGCCCTTTACCACTCACCGCCACGGGGATTCTACTTCCCTTCCCGCCGGCCTTCAGCCTAGAAAACACAAAATGGAGCAACGCTCAACCACAACAGGAGATCAATCAACACACCACTTTTATCAAGTTCCATCCTATCATCCTTCACAGTAGTTTTGTTTCTATGAAATCCTAAAATTCGGCTTATACAGACAGATCACCCTAGTCAAGAAAAATATTTCTGACAGGATGTCTACAAGAGTTTGTCAGTCAGATTAAACGATTTTACCCATGCATTCCTCCTCCCAAAATAAGTGAAATAGGTAGAAACACAATAAATATCTTACGTCACAGTTTTCGAAAATATTTATTGATAAATAAACAATAACAAATACTAAATATCAGTCTTGAATTGAAGCTCGATGTCACAGGAGTGAAATCCTAATTCAATAAAAAGAGATGGGGATGGTGCGGGGTGGCGTCATAAAAAGACTAAAATACTGAAAAAACTATTTTATTTTAAACCCACATTTTGATCCAACCAGACTTTGCAGTTCTTCTTCAAGACTAGAACGAACAAGATACAAAAGAATATAGAAAATTGTGAAAGTTACATAATATTTAGATAAAAATTATAAATGATGTAAAAATTCTTATTAAAATTATAAACATTATGAATAGAAATTACATATAAATGTTAAGAACAATAAACTATATAAACAGAGTAATCAAAGTATAACTAAGTAACAAGAACCTACATTGAAGTGAATAAATGGTAACTGTTAACGCCACAGCGTTAATTCATTTCATTTTACACTTAACTAGTTTGATTAATTGTTGATTCGTTTTATTTTAGCAAAGTGAAATCAATTAATATTATGTATAAGATATGTGTATATTAAGTATTATAGGCCCATAGCTTATATTGTTTATATTAAATAAATCAATAGTTTATACTTGGACTACTTTGTTTTGGATTGTAGTAGCACTAGCTATAAACAAGTGCTAGGTTCAAGTCATAAGGCGGTAGAATTGACAAGAAATGGTCTGTCTCTGCCCGCCACTGAGCTGAGTTCTGCCAACTTCAACACTGCCCACTGCAGTTCTACTCTGAAGAGATGTACTTCTCTCTTCGTGCTCGCCACTGCCTATTTGCAGTTCATTTTGAGCATGCTCATTGAAGATTTACAATTGGTTTCTGCATAGAGACAGAGGTTTACGAATGTACTGCTTCGTCCACGTAACGTTGTACAATTTAATTATTTGTTATATATATATTTCATATTGGGACTCTAGAGAAGTTGTTTTTTTTATTTTATTTTTATTGTATTTTGGGCCATAGAAATAGTTTTTTTCTTTTATGATCAAGCATGAAAATATTTCATTAATATTGTCACAATTGTTTGTTAAGCTGGTCTTTATTTTACGCTAGAAGTTTATTTTATTTTTTTCTAAGCTATCTAACAAGTGTAAAATTGATTCATTTTGTTTTTATGTTTTCAATATTAGATTTCGTAAATGTTCCAAAATAAATGTTTGAAGATACAGTCCACTTTATTTCTTTTTTTTTTTTCTTTTATTAAATCACAACTAAATAGTTAGGCTTCATTCGAAGTTTGACATAAACTAAGAGGGAGCTAACAGTAATAATTGTTCTAGATGGGGAAAAATTGAATGTAATAAGGAGGATAGATAATATATCATTATATATTATCTATCCTCCTTATTACATTTAATTTTTCCCATCTACAATAACCTACAACAATTGTTACCATTTACTTACTTCAGTTTAGGATTTTGATAGTTATACTTCGTTTACTCAGTTTATTGTTCTTAACTTTCCTCTGTACTTTCTATTCATACTGTTAATAATTTTACTAAGATTATTCATATTGTTTATAATTTTTATCTAAATATTATGTAATTTCTATTATGTATGTAAAGTCCTTGTTTGTTCTAGCCCTGAAGAAGACCTGCAAAGTTGGCTTGAAATAAAATATTTTTTTTCCACTATTTTAGTCTTTTTATGACGCCACGCCGGACCATCTCCTTCCTCTAAAATATACAACGGTCAACCATCAAGTATTCAATAAAAAGAGATGTTGTCCTCCTGTATGTAATTTTTTATTCTCTCCTTGCTACCGGTTTCAGTCTTTCATTAGGCTAATTGATGATGATAACTGATGATGGTCCTCTGCCCTTGCTTGTCAGATGAGGACATAGGCTGTTTCAAAAACAAGAATCATTTTTCAATAAAAAAATTAATATATTTTTTCTTTAACATAAAATAAAAGTAAAACTCAAAATATAACCCATGGCACTGCTAGCATTTCCCATTTCTGTTTGATCTCGTGCAGATATCACTCTTTGGATGGCTATCGTAAAATTATTGAACCGCTGTTTCAATATTGTGAAATGTAGTAATTTATTTTCCTTTCAAGCAGAGGGCCATGAATTAAAACAAATAAAAATCTGGAAAAAAAGAAAAGATGGAGCAAGTTCCGGACTGTATGATGGGTGCGAAAGAAGTTCGATACCACCAAGATTTTAGAATTTTACCTTGGTCTGTCAGGAAGTATCACGAGTATTTGTGGATGGATTTGGAACTTGTTGATGGAACCTCATCAGTATTGAGTTACAGTTGCCCTGAGCCCTTCTTCCTTTCGAAGGATGTATCATCACTAGAAAATTTCTGAAACCAACGATGTGCGAGTCCCTCGTTGAGGAGACCTTCCCCTACAGTTTTGTTGATTTCACTAGCCGCTTCAGTTGCTAAACAAGATTTTTCCAATAATATTTTAAAATAAAAAGAATTTTGTAAGAAGCTGTCATGTTGCTTTTTCAATAAAAAAAACTTTAAAACTATGGCTTTATTGAACCAACAATAAATTGAGGTAAACAATAAATTGGATTAATGTATTTACAATTCTTGGGATTTATGAATTTGACAAAACCATCATTTTTTTTATAAAGCATATTATAACAAATAATTGATGTTTTACAAAGATTATATATAACTAGTGAGCTGTTGCTCAATGCTTTGGTTCTAAAGACTTTGGTTTTCCTTTCCTTCTCTTAATTGACTCGTAGAAACACAGGATCCAGGAGCCGTTATTCACCGTAGTCAAGAATTCTCCATTTTAAACATCTTAAATCAAAGAATCTTTCCACATTCTTCTCCTGCAGACTTCAAGCTTGTATCGGGAAGTATCCACTGTCTCCTTCTAACCATAATTGAGTTATTTGAGTCATGAGAAGTTCCAATTCTCAACCACTTACCACGTGAACTCCCCACCTCAGAATGTATAGAAATTATCTTGGAGTTTCCTCAGTCAGAAAAGAGTTTTCTCTCTTTGAAGATAGCTGGAGGCTCCATAGTAAATGCTAAACCTCGACTTTAAAGACTTATTGTATTATTTAATAGAACAATCCTTTAAAAATTATATACTTCATCCTTGTAAATGAATACAGTCGAATAATAATGGTTTAGAACACATTATTTTAAAGATATTATAGAGCGAGTGAAAAAAACAAACAAAAAAAATCAATATCGTAATAATGAGATTACAACTTGTTATATATTTTGTTTTCTATACTGGACTTTATAGAAATCAAACAAAAAAAAAAAAAAAATTTAACTTCTCTCAAAATTTGTGGTTTAAGTTTCAAGATAAATAGAATCCGAAAATAGAATTAAAAAATCTGTCTCTCTTCCATATCTACTCCAAAAATACCGATATTTTTATTACATTTTGCACTGTCACAAATCACCCAAGGATGAATCATGGAATACATCGTTTCTAGCCTTTTTTTTTTTTAATCATTACACCAAAAACAAAAAAAAACAAAAAATATATATATATAACCAAATTAAATTAGTTTAAATATTTTTTATTTATTTATAACTATTTCAATGAAATAAACTGTAGTATAATCATTTGCACCGTTTCCTTTATTTTATGATAAAAAAAGTTAGTATTTTATACAGTAGAACTGTATCCGCCAAGTATGCTTGTGGAAAGTGTTAAATCATTTGATAATATAAAAATTATGGAGGCTAGGTAATGGATAGAGTAGGTAATGTTTAAGAAATTGTTGGCAAATTATAAGAGGGCCTTACGGTTTCATAGCTATACTCTGTTGACTGTACGAGTGTTTAAACATGCAACATGAAATGAATAAGTAAAACGAAAATGAGAAGAGATAGATAACAATACAGAAAATTGAAACAATAAGAAACAGAAAAATAAATAAATGAAAGAAATTGCATTACAACTTTCAATTATAAATAATATGATAAAATACAAAGCATTTAAAAAGACATATTGTACTATAATTACCTGTTTTCTTGTTCCTTGACGGGGGATAGATTGTGTTGCTTGTCTTTACTCGATTCTTCGGTTGCGTCGTAATACAAAGAGGCAGTCTCCTCGCGGCCGGTACTAACGGGGCTACAACCTCCCCTCCCTACATATAAGTCAAAACTCTCAACTGGCAGTCAAGATGCCTGTAGTTTATCATTTGTATTAAAAGTCACAGACGAACAAACTGTAAATGACACCACATAAAAAAAAAATAATATATTACTTAAATTTAAGAAAAAAAAATCATCGGAGACTTTCTTCTCTCCGAGTCAAATTGAATAATTCTTTCAGCGAAAGGGAAGAGGGGAATTAAATATTAATGGTATTTATTTCAGCCTTGTTCCATGCTCCTTCACACCCATGCAAAGAGGAGTGTGATGACAGGACAAAAACAAAAAAAAAAGAATTAAAAATCAGGTGATTGAAAATTCAATCATTAAAAAAAAATGACATTAAAGAATACTGTGTAGAGGGAGACAGCACACCATGCCATTTACAGTTTGTCGTGTGATGTGTGACTAGTGTTTGTGACTATGTTATACCAAATACTGATTCTGTAACGAAATTGGTCACCTTTGTGGTCGGATTTTCTTGTTTCTCTTGTAGTAGGTGCGGTATGGGCCGACGTTTCATGCGAAGATCTGTCGACTACTCTAATTTCGAGCCTGCCGGATACAGGTTGGATGTCAATATCATCTAAAACACAAATATGAGAAGGAGTTGATCGGAGGGTGTGGTCAAATTAATATTAAATTAAATAAGTAGAATTATTTAATTTTTGCCGACACTTCGACCCACTTTGTAGGTCTTCATCAGGGCTACAAAAGACACAAAACATGGTGAAAATAAATGAATATAAGTAGATATAAAATAAGAATAAGTTGTCTAATACAGAACTAAAAGATGATATCAGAGATATAGTGCGTGACAATGTAGTTAAAATATCAAGTATTATATGTAGAAGATAAAAACAAAAATGGAAAATAAGTATGAATAAAAAAAAATAGAAAATAAAGGAGAATATAGCATGTAAGTTAAAGGTAAACAGATTGCGATAAAAGATAAGGAATGAGTGTATAACAAACTAATAATGATTACATTTGATAAATGTAGGTTAACATATAAAGAAAATGAATGTTAACGAATAAATAGATTGTAAATTGAATAAGTATTTATAAAGTAAAGCTAAAATAAGAATGAGATAAAATAATAATAAGATATCAGTGGATAACAAGCTAGTGGAGGTTACATTTGATAACTGTAAGTAAATAGATAACGGGACTAAAGGTTAAGAAGTAAAAAAATTGAAAGATTAAAAGGATAACATTAGTGTGATATCGTTAGGATAGATTATTAAGTATAAATAACTCTGTAAGAAAACAATAATTATAAGAAGAGAAATTTAGAATGTAAGTATAAGTGTAAAACAAGCTTATGATGATAAAAAACAAGTTTTACTGTATATAGATAAAACACAAATAATTAATTATTTAAAAAATAAACCCTGAAATTTTCGTTGGAGACATGCAGTCACAGACTTGACATTAATCAAAAAGGAACTTTTAAATGAGTAGTAATTTTGATCCGATTCTTCATAAATACACGTAATTAGTACATTGATTGTGAATTACCATTAGACTGGTATGCAACTTGAATGAATGAATGAAAACGTGTTTATTAAACTTTTTAAAAAATTACACAAAGTAAAAAATATATATACATATTGTATCAATAGTTTACTATCTGACTAATTGAGATCTTTGCAATGTGGCCTGCTGTACATAATTGCTTAAGGCTTTCCAGTTAAAATCCTTTAATAAACCAAATAATTCTTCCAGAGAACAGGTCCGCTGCCCAAAACATTTCCCATTTAACTCACTATACATGTGACAAGTCCCCAAAAAGTGAATTGTATCCTCTTTTTCTTGAGAGTTACATACCAGACAGCAATCGTTGTCCCCCACCATCCATGGTTTTATGCTTAAATTGAGCAATTCTGTCTTACATCTAAAAATTGACCCTATACACACTATCATTAAGATAGGGTGTAACAGTACCCACTGAACATACTCCAGCGTAAAACGAAAAACTTGAATGAAGACATTTTTGGAGGTTATTTTGTTTTTTTAAGTGCTCTACCCTATGTCTAACAACAGTCAATTTTCCGAGCAGACTAGCGATATTTGCTGTATCAAGATTAATTTTGCAACTATCCTCGAATTCTAACCACTTTTGGTACCAATAAACTCCAACACATCTCCAGCACTTTCAAAATATAGTCGAAATGAATTTTAAACGAATTATAAACGACTAGTTTACTTAAATAGGTGACATGTTTGTTAGCTATGAAATTATGCCAAGTAGAATTTAGCAACTTATTGCGTACTTATTTAGATATGAAACTTATTCTAACCATAGTGGAGAGGTTGAAATTCATTCCGTGGGTCACAACAAAATAAATTTCAATCTCCTATGATGCACTATAGTATTCTCAAGTCTGATGGCACCAATTGGTATCTGCCCTAGACGTGTTAAAATTCATTTTATGACAGACCCATATAATAAATCTCGACCTCCCCACTCTGAAACAGGTCTGGAACAACCTCATCGCTTTCACTTCCATCTTTCAACTGTATTTTTGTTTAACCAATTTTTCAATAAATAAAAACTATTATCTTGGTTTGGTTTTTCCTCTTCTACTGTCAATAGTACACAAAACACAAGTATAATTACATAAATTACAGTAATTATATATCACTGTTATATAATAATATAATATTGCAGGAAAATAATGCCAAAAGTAAACAATAAATTAAGATCATCAACACCAATACAGATTAACTTTTACCATCGTCTGCCGTAGTTTTAGCTGTAACTAAAGACGATTCTTCTTTATCTTGAGAAGACTTCTGCTTCTCTTCCTTCTTCTGAGTGCCGTTATATAACGGTTTAGGGCATGTTAGAGGCATCGCCTTGAAGAAAAAAAAAAAAAATTATAAAATAAATTAAATGAATAGTTTTAATAAAAATGTATTACAGAAAATAAGAAATATATTAATTTACGGGTAAACTCTGCTTCCTTTTATGAGTCGTCGGTTGTGAGCTCCTAGTCGCGACATTTCTCATCACATCAACTTCGTACCAAACTTCATCGAAAGCTGCTTGCTGCAGAAAAGGTGGCTCAAGACCAAGCCTGTAAATAAATTTATTGATGTTGAATTGATTATGCTATCAAAATTTATGAACATGACATAATAATTATTAAATTAGCAAATAAAATTTCAGCATTTCCTCTCGCCCTTTATTTTGCATTAAAAAAAAAAAAAAATCAGAGATTTTTATTCATATTAAGTTCCCACTTAATACAAATAGTGATTATCATACTACACTTACATGAATTTTTAATTTCTATTAATCGATAAAGATTAGATTATAACAATAAAAATGCAAAAGTACCAAAATATTTCTGATGCAAGTTTGCAAAGATAATTAGTTTTAAGAAGAGTTGAAAAGAATGAGCTATGTCAGGAGGATCGATACCTTATACTAGCTAGTATTTCCAGCTTCAAAACTTCCATCCAACAAATATCATTCTGTTTTTTATCTCACCCTGTTGTCTCTAAATAAAATTATGTTGTTTAAAATTTATTTTTTTAACTTTTATAAATTAGATCAGAGGCAGTTACCATATATGATATCATAGGGGCAGATTTTCGATTTTCGTTGGGAAGACAATGGACTCCCTCCCCCCACCAAAAAAAGTCTCAGGAGTTTATATCATGTATAATAATTAGAGGTGATAATTAATATAACCCACATAATCATTATAAAATGAACAATAAAATATTATATATAGAAATAAATATATGTATTTTTTTTTTTACATATATATTTGAAAATATGTTAATGAAGCAATTGAATATATTACATATTTTTACTTTCACTTACCTATATATGAAATATATAGTAAAGGAAAGTATTGCGATTGTGAAAATTTTCGAATCTCAGTTTTCAACGGAAATATGCGTTTTGAGGTCCCCTGAGTCCAAATAACCAAGCCCTGCAAAATGGTCTGTGTGTGTGTTAACAGTGTAGCTCAAAAACAAAAAAGTCATAAGAAAGGAAAATTGCATATTTAAGAAGGTTTTTATATGTCTGGGATCTCCCCTTTCTATTAAATATCTGTGCTAATCTTATATAAGCTCTTTGTCACTTGAATTCTAATGCAGCTCAAATTAGTAATTTAACAGGAATATTTTTAAAAAAATATTATTAACTATTATATAATTATTTAATTGTTCAAGGTTTTTTATCCACAAATCGTACAAATGTCATATTTACAACCTTATATCAAATAGTCAGGCCTAGCCACTATTTTAATTATTAATTTCTCTGCCTCTATTGGCTTTTTATACCAGTATCTCTGCTGGAAGCGTTGGGATCTCTTGGAGTCCTGTTGTGCCTTTCATGTGTAAAGCATGATTTCGAGTTGCTATGCTAAACAGATATATTGAATCCGTGTTCCGCCCGCTGCCTTTGATTTTTTCCGAGACTATTGGGCTGATTTTTTTGAGATTCGAAATTAATTCTAGTGGTCACACGAGGAAGATCTCTCGACTTTAGCAATCGCCTTTTCCCTTCAAAATGGCGACAGAAAAACCTGTATCGTTATAGAATATAGAGCCTAAACGGATTTTACAAGAGTACGGTTACACATGACATCATTAAAATATTTAGTAATCATTAATAAACACGTATGGTATAAAACAAAGATGGTATAAAATTAGATCTTAGTGTGAGAAAAAAAATCATAAGTGTTCTTGATTTTTTTTTCATAGATTATAAATACAAATAACAGTAAGAGGAAGAGCTGAAATTATAACTATAAATATAAAATAAACATTTCATATTACTACTTGAATGAATAAAATTACCTAATATTAAGGCCGATTTCTGGAACGCTCCAAGCACGTGGAAGCACTGGATGAAGTTCTGGATAACTTTCGATACCAGCGATATTAAGACATTTTACCCTCGGCTTTCCTTCAAGTTTATTCTGAAGTCTATTAGACTTTTCTATGACTAGATTTGTATTATTATTGCCGGAATTCCCCGATTGCTATTAAAAAAAAAATTATATTATAAAACGTTTTAATAATGTTCATGTATTTGTTCAATAAAGAGAGTTAACGACAAACCTGAAACTGAACATTTTTAATGCAGCTATGTTTAGTGGAATCTTCACTTATTTTGGAGAGGTGTGGCTCTTGAACGACGGGTGTTGTTCCGCCTTGAGGTTGCGTAATTTGCTTCTTTTCAGAAACTCCACTGGCATGAGATCCACTTTCAGGAATCGTGAACTGCGGTGCCTGAAATGATTTTAAATTAGTAAAATAAATGTTTGAAATGATAAAAAAAAAGTAATAATATAATAGTCAAAGAATAGAGTTTATATGATACATGGAGAACCTGCAGCCTCCATGATGCACCTGTGGCCTCCAAACATCTGATTCTCATCCTGATGAAGAACTTCAAGATGGGATGATATTAACTCTTTAATTGCAAATGATGGCTATAGACGCCGTAACTGAACGTGCCACTGTTGCTAATTTTGGCGCACCCCATTCCTGCCC